GTTTTTTGATAATTATTTATGTTTTTTTGGGTGTATCGTTGATAAACGTGGTGTAGTGCTAAAGTTTGCCCCATGGACGTGTCACGGATGTAGGCTCGGACACAGACGGACAGGGGATTGAAGAAGAAACACGGCCCAAGCCTGTAAGCCAAATTCCCTTGTACTTACGCTGAGTTTTCTTCTTTTGGACCCAAGGCCCGATCGATTCTTGTTATCATCATCCGCCAATCACAATGGCCACACTCCAGAGACACATGCGACAACATGTGTCTCGATCCCTTGCATGAAACTATCTTAGGCGAACCCAACAGTTGGTGGCCTAGTGGCGGAGAGGTGACAAAGTCATCCTCAAGATCTTGGGTTCGATTCCACTGGTGGAGAGGTGACAAAGTCATCGTCAAGGTCATGGCAACCAAAAAAAACTTTCCTTCGTATGCCTTTTTTGTTTCCTATTTTTCATTATTGTCATCCCTATCATTTCCATTTTCTGTATCTTCATTTCCTTTGTTATTTTCCAACATCTTCTGCATATATGTATGCGACATGATGACAATAAATTTTAAGCCTCTTCTTTACAAATCAAAATCTCCACTCTTCAGTCTTCATTGTCTCTTTGGTCTGATTTTCTATACCTTGAACTCAGCAAGCACACAAACAAACTATAGCAACCCATTTAATTGACAAAATCTTAATCTAGCTCCGTATAAGGGGGCGACTGGTTGCACCGCCGCCACCCACAAACGGAGCGGTTGCGATTTCCGGCGGTTGCGGGCGATTGAAAAACTGACTGGTTGAACCGCAACCAACCGCAACCGCAACCAAACTTGTGTTTTCTAATCGCAGCTTCCAACTTGCATTTTGGTAGCGGTTTCCGGCGTTTTGACAAAAAAACTAAAATATTTTTATTAGAAATTATATAAAACATTAATATATATATTGGTGATGATTTTGTTTAGTGTTATGATTTGATATTATTTTTTAGTATTATATTTTAATAAAAAAAATATAATAGTATAATTTTTAAGTTTAATAATGATTATTTTTAATAATTTTTATAATAAAATTATTTTTTTACTTAAAAATAAATTAAATTGATAATATTTCTAACTACACCCACCCGCAATCGCTACCAACAGCAACTTCTCAACCAGTCAGTACTAATCATTTATAATCGCTATCAAACGTTCTGAAAACGCTGCCACCCGCAACCGCAACCGCTGCGGTACAACCAATCGAACCCTAAGAAGATGAATGTAAAAATGTTTAGTATCTGTTATACATCATTGTTGAATAAAGATTGCAGTTAATTGAAAATTATTTGTAAAGACTATTTTATACTGTAGTTTGAATTATACTTACCGTATAATTAGAGAATACGGGAAATAAATTTTTTTTTACAGAGATAGAAAACTTTATGTCCCTTATAGCATAGAATTAACAATTATACATTCAACTATAAGATCATTCACAGTGCATTTCACTGACTTGTAAATAAATGTTAGTATATCAATCTTCCATATTCGAATTCATACTATCTTGCTCAACCATATTACACTTCACTATAATTAGGGTTTCGAGTTTCTTCACACCACCTTTTTGAAAGCCAATCCGGCAAGCCTGGGAGGTTTGTTCAGGACGACGGAATTTTTGGGAATCACACCGAGTATTGAAATGTGATTGAGGAAGAACAAATCGAAGAACAATTTGTCCTTGTACCGAAAAACAAACTAAAGAGGGAAACGAGCAAACCGAACGAACATAAACCGGCCATAACCGGACGTTTTCTTGGCATCTAGGTCCGAGTGGTCTAAGCGCTTATAGCTCAAGTGAGAAAATTTCCATAGATTCGGTTGTAATATCTCTAAAGTCTAGAGGTAAAACAATTATCAGTTTACTGTTTAAAAATGTATCCGCCAATAAGAATCGATTTCAAATCCAATTATCCGAATCCAAACTCGATTTTTATATATTTTTTAACACTATGATTAGATGTCAATCTCATAAATTATTTGGACACTCGGAATTTCAAAATTATTAGATTATTTACATACTCAGAATTTCAAAATTTATGCCCAGTCCTACTGCAACTAGGGATATCAAAATGAGCTGGTTCATGAGGAAGTTCGCGAGCCAACCTATATTTTTCCGATTTTGGTTGAGAAATTTTGAGCCCGAAAAAAAAACGAGTCAAACGAGCTAGCTCGCCACGAACTCAGCTCCTGGTGAGCCAGAAAAAAATTAATTTATTGTTTTAATACTTTCAAATAATTTTAAAAACGATTTATCAAATTTAAATATTTTTTTATTACTTTAAAATATATTAATTATTATTATTTTAATTATTTTATAATTTTTTTATTATATTTAATATTTTTTTATTTTTTCTGGCTCGTGAACTCGAGCGATTTGGTCTGAGCCTTGATTTTTTGGCCCGAATAAAAATAAACTTAATGAGGTGGGCTGAAAATGAGTTGGTTCGTAACGGACTGGTCCGATTTAGTCTGAGACGGCTCGTTTGACATCCCTAACTGCAATTCTGCTGGCTCCTCCGTTGTTAAATTGACGTGTTTTTTCTTCTTTATTTCGGTTGGGCTCTTATTTGCATGTGCTAATCATTATTGATTGGCCTCTAACTGTGACGCTCAGAACTGAATGCGGTGGTCCATATATATTTCATTTACGAACAAAGGTAATTATTATTCGCCAAATATCGTAATTAAAGGTTCGCAACTGATATCACAAAAAGGGTTAGGAAATACTGTTTTCCAAGAAAAAAATCGCATATAAAAATACCTGAACTTTTACAAAAATCCTAAATAAATACCTGAACTATAAAATTCCTAAATAAATACCTGAATTTTTCAAAACTTTCATATAAATACCCAAATTTTTAGAAATTTACCAAATGAAACCAAAATCCATTAACGCCGTTAAACTTATAACAGAATCTATCGATAATTAATAATTTAACCGTCAACGAATATTGTTTTATTTGGTAAATTTTTAAAAGTTTGGATATTTATGTGAAAGTTTTGAAAAGTTCAGATATTCATTGAAAATTTTTAGTTCAAATATTTATTTAAGATTTTTATAAAAATTCAGGTTTTTATATGGAATTTTCTCTTTCCTAAATTTTTTATTTATGTGTCGTACTGCTGCTGTACTTCTCTTTCAGGCTTTAGTCAACTGTACTTCAATTTGTAATCTGAAATGTCAGAATGTACTTCCGTATCTCATTACAAAAGTCAACTCTACCATTTCGATTATTTTGTAAAATATATCTTCTTCGCTTCATTGTGTTTGATATATTTTCATGAAATTTTCTGTTTGCTAGAAATGTAGTTCAATCTTTCACAAAACGTATATTTTCATGAAATTACCTGTTTACAGTAACGATTTTGTTATTGAATATAAATATCCATCTTTAGGTTATCTAGTGGTAAGAGAACTTGTAAAATATGTTTTTATTTTGGATTTAAATCCAAGTGTTGAAAAGGTATTCACCTGAATTTTTCTTTTCTTCAAAAAGATGTTGTTGGACCGAAAATCTGATAAACTTTTACATTATAAAAAAAATGCAATAAAGATGAGTAAAACTATGCATTATCAATTTTTTTCATAGGATACAATCCTCAAGTCTCCATACAGATGTCATTTTTCTTGAAATAATTTATATGTCTGTATAATGAAGTTGTTTTTCTTCCTCATTTCATTTTTGCATTCACGAATCCATGACGTACGTTGATGTATAATTTTTTTTTATTGTAGCATAAATTATAGGAAGAATATGATATATTGTCTTATCTTGAATGAAATTCTTAGTATTTCATATACGGTTAGGGCACGAAAACAGATACAATTACACAATTGGAATTTTAAACAAATTCCCAATTTGTCAAATTGATCGAAGTTTTAAAATTAATCGGAAACGTCAGTTTCTTTCCATCCCAAGAAACCGTTAAAAGTATAAAAAAGTTTCCCTTGAATATGTAAAACAAAAGACATTTCATCTGATTGATACCATTTTATCCATGCATGAATCACGCCTCTTTTCCCCCTCAGAATATCACAATTTGATAATATCGTCATGAATATACAACTAACTTGTATATATATAATTGCGCGTATGATGATGCTATTGATTTCGTGTCTCCGATGATACATGTGGGAACATTACAATATTACGAATTATGTCCAAATCCGGTACGACACTTTCAGATGTACATCTAAGCATAATCGGCATTACATTTATGGCATATTTTATTTAGGGTAAAACCTATAGAAATTCCTACACTTGTAGAATGGTGGAAATAAATTTCTAAACTTTTTCGGTTAACAAATTTATTTTCAAACTTGCAAAATGTTTTATTAGAATTCTTAAACTTGTAAAATATGGTATTATAATTCTCAAACTTGTTAATAGGTTTGTTAATAGGTGTTAGAAAAAATTTTGGTGATTTTGATCAATAAATCAGTTTGGGAATTATAATGATCACATTTTACAAATTTATAGATATATTTATGGAACAAAAAATTTAGAATTAGTTTTACACCATTTTACAACCTTTTATTTATTTATGTATATACATGCATTTGGATGTGCTGTCGGCCACGAACTATCAAAAGATATGAATGTAAACAATGATACATGTAGTTAAAGACAGTGTATACTTGAATATATACACACACAAAGATTTATATTTGTAATATACATATATCAATATTGGCATGTGCCATCGTGTGGTTTCAACCGAATCCTAAATTACATATTTGGAAAATAAAAAAGGTTCTGATCAGTAATGTTTTCCTTTTTCTTTTCCTTCCAGTAACTGTCGTTCAGATTTTAGACTTTTAAAATCTCAAATATCTATAATAATGCCATTGTCCATTAGGTCAAACTAGCACACTTCCTCTATAAATACTGAATCTCAACGTTAACAGAACACCAGGAATGCATACAAACATACGCTTATACATACATCCATAAATAGACACATATTTCGGTGAAAAGAAAATGGGAACCACAAGGAGCATAATGAAGATGATATTTGCGGTTATGTTTATTGGATGGATTTTCGTTTGGATAATGATTCCAACAAAGGTATTCAAGTATAATTGGACACCCAAGCTTGCAAAGCACCTCAACACGACCTACTTTGGTCCCCAAGGTTTCTTCTCTCTCTCTCTCTCTCTCTCTCTCTCTCTCTCTCTCTCTCTCAGTTATTCTCTGTCCTAATTTCTTGGGGATTACTGAGTTTAAATCCTAGTTTCCGTGTCGTTTTGCTCTTTAATATGTTTTTGTGTTTGTGACGTAACTAACAAGGAATCTTTATGCATAGGCACTAATATTGTTGAAAAAGTTGAACCCTCAAAGAGTAATGCGGAAAACTAATCAGTTCTATTCACTTGAGAAAGATAGTCAAGTACAACTCACTTTTTGTTGTAAGAATCGTACTTACTACACACACCCGAAACTCCCCCTGAGTTTCTTCCCCTCTCACAATGAATTCTACTGATCAAAAAACCTCACCACATAAATCACTCACCAGAGAGAAGAGATTTGCCCAATCGGTCTCCCTCTCAGACTCGCACTCACCAGATAATGAGAACACACTCACTTAACAAAATAGACTTAGAAATTATGCTCCTTCTCTCTGCACCGATCTGCAACTTGTGTCTTCTTTATATAGGCTCCTCCCTTAGCCTCAGATCTCCACGAATTGATTTGATAGACTTCTCCTTGATTCTTGTTGGTTTCGTGTCTATCTTCAAGATCTCATCTTTATCTCTTCAGCTTGACTCTATCTCTTCAGCTTTGACTTCATCTGAATCTTGTCAGTTGCATCTCAGATATCTTCGAGTTTGATCTTTGCCGAATCTTTCTCCTGAAATCTCTCAAAGTTTGTTGGACCTGCAACAAACTTTCAACAACCCAAGATACGTGCAAATATATGCACTAACAATCTCCCCCTTGTTGGTTATTTCAGATCATGCACACAATTGTAAATCCTTCATCAAATTCCAACAAGCTAGAGTCGTTACACACTAAACTTCAAGTCATCAAAAACACATAGAGTCATCGCATACGCACATAAGTTCAGATCATTAGTATAAGAGAAAAAAAAACATCAGAATCGATCAGATGAGTCCTCCGATGAACTCTTGACCCTCTTAACTTTCTTGATTGTTCCTGACTTCTTCGAGGTTTCTGCTTTCCGTGGAGTTTGTTTGGGCATCTCAGGCTCTTCTTCTTCTTCTTCCTCCGAATCTTCTTCTTCTGAGTATAGATCTCCTTCTGCTTCCTCAATTTCTCCCCCTGTGGGCATGAACGAAATAATCAACAAACAAGTTTATCCAGTTGAGGAATACCTGATTGAATAATGAGCACATTACTCAGAGTTGCTTCCACAAATTCATGGACTGATGCACGAATCTTCTGGCAGTGTGTTGCCTGCTTCCTTAGACCGAGTTCCATCTTGATCAGAGCCTTTTCTGCGTCCTTGAGTGTCTCCAGCATCTTCTTGAAGTCCTTCTTACCTTTTCCCTTCTTCCTTTTGATTCTTGACTCAACTACTAGAGGTTTTTGAACAACCTCAGTGTTCTCCTTTGGATCAATGAGTTCAGGGCACTGCTTGATGAGTATACTTTGAATCAAGCAAGGATAGGGTAACCTGAACCTTGCTCTGAAGTTCAGTGCTCTATCCAGAATGTGATCAAAGATCATACTTCCATAATTGATCTTGATTCCCTTCTTCACGCAGTAGATGAGTATCGCCAATCTCTTGTGGATCAGACTCGATCGCTGAGTTGGTAACCAGTTGGATCTGGCGATCTTGAACAGAACTGAAGATTCAAAATTCAGGTCTACTGGTGCTATCTCTTCTTTCCTCTTCTCGTCATAGCTATCAGTGAGAGCTATTTCCAGTTCCTTCTGATCAATCTCTCTATCCAGTTCGTCCATGGTTGCCACCACTGTGTTCTTCAATCCTAAGAACTTATTGATCACTGCTGGAGAGAAGTGTAGGATCTTTCCCCGTATGTACACTCGATGGTACATCGGATCTCCCGCCCTCACAATCTTCTTCGAGATGTTAGCATAGAATTCCTTGATCAGAATTTTGCTGTGTGGGCAAGCATATGTGACAGTTTCTTCTAGTCCTAGACTCTCTAGGAAGTCCCAAATCCCTTGCTCTTTGAAATTGCTGACATTTACATTTCTCTCAACAATTGTGTTGAGGTTCTTCATGTCATTGAATCTTTGTTCGGACTTTTCATCAACAAAGTGATGAGACATGCAGAGGCTTGCCAGTAGCTCCTCATCTTCTGATCCAGAAGGTGAACTGGGTGGTTCCTTTTCTTCCTGAATTTTCTTCTTCCCCTTCCTCTTCTCCTTTCTGTATTCCTCAGAGACTTTTGAGGATTTTGCTGGGGGCATATGTTTTGCAGCTTCACCTTTCCTTTTCACAGCTTTCTTAGGGGTCTTTTGCTCAGAAATCACCAAACTTGGTTGTGATTTCATCTTCCTTGGGATTTTCTTGACAGGGCTTTTGACAGTTTTCACTGATTTTGTTGCTACTTGAGATCGGGTCCTCGCTCTTTGTTCAGTAACAACTCGTGTATCAAGGCCCTTTCCCTTTTTCTCAATAACCTTGGCCTTGGCCTTCTTCTGCTCAACTCTGGAATCCACTTCAACTCCATCATCTTCTTTTGGTTTGAGCACCTCCGTCTCTGTTGCTGAGTCCGCAACAACTTCCAGTTCAGCATCATCCTTGGATTTTTCTTGCCCTAACTGTTCAGAGGGCAGTTCATCCATTCGTTTGGATGTGTCACCCACATCCTTCCTAGATTCTTTATGCTGAACACTCATGTCCTTATCAAAATCTACTCTCCTTTTTGCTCCTTTTCTAATCAGCCTAGGTTCACTATCCGAGCTCACATCTAGTTCGTCAGTAGGGTAGACAAAAAGATCATCGAGCTTACCCGAATCAGCTTGTTCTGGAGGCAGTGAAGTTTGTAGATCTTTATCTTCGATCTTAGTTGTTTCTTGCTGTGGTTCTTCGGGTATCTCCGCTTCTTGCGTCTTTTCTTCTGGACTTTCGAGTTCTTGGATCTCTTCGCCCATTTTATCTTCCTTGCTATTGCGAAGAATCTCCCTCGGATTTCGGCGAGATTCTTCTGATGGGTTCTCTTCTGGATCTTCTTCAGCACTCACAAACGAGTTTGAAGATTCTTCTTTCCTGGGTTCACTCGATTTTCCTTCTCTAGATGAACCTTCCTCTGAGTCAAGGTGATGATCCTCACTCTTTTCTTCTCTCTTTTCTTTTGGATCCATGCTGAGACTGAATCTAGGGATTTTATTCTCTCTTCGTTACTCTCTGTTGGACCTCACACTCGTGCGAATCAACTTCCCAGATTTTAGGGTTCTTCAGCTCCAGAACTTCGCAGGGATAGAGAGAGAAACACCTCTTTTTATTGTGGGCAAAGAGTTTGTTTTGGGAATCTCTGATTTTTCGGATCCCACTTCCCCATAACCGAACATTTACTCAACCACTCACATCAATCTTTTCAAAAATAACGTTTAAAAAAATAAATGAAACAGAAATCCGTTACGCAACAACTTACGATTTTAACACCAAAGGAATTCATTCTTTCGTACCTTAGTTCGCAGTATATCCAGTTGAGTCAGTGACACCTCACGCTTCGTCCAGTGCATACTTCACGAACCATGGATACATTTTTCTCGTATTTTTCTCTTTCATCCGCCTGAACTTCTAGGACGTTGTGTCCGTTCATACTGTTTCACCACTTAAGTCCAGCCTATCTCTCTTGGATATACTCTTGTAAGAGCTAACTTACAGCGGAGTATGATGAATCATTGTCATCAGACCTTAGACCGCTTGATACACGAGTTGTTACTGAATAAAGAGCGAGGACCCGATCTCAAGTAGCAACAAAATCAGTGAAAACTGTCAAAAGCCCTGTCAAGAAAATCCCAAGGAAGATGAAATCACAACCAAGTTTGGTGATTTCTGAGCAAAAGACCCCTAAGAAAGCTGTGAAAAGGAAAGGTGAAGCTGCAAAACATATGCCCCCAGCAAAATCCTCAAAAGTCTCTGAGGAATACAGAAAGGAGAAGAGGAAGGGGAAGAAGAAAATTCAGGAAGAAAAGGAACCACCCAGTTCACCTTCTGGATCAGAAGATGAGGAGCTACTGGCAAGCCTCTGCATGTCTCATCACTTTGTTGATGAAAAGTCCGAACAAAGATTCAATGACATGAAGAACCTCAACACAATTGTTGAGAGAAATGTAAATGTCAGCAATTTCAAAGAATGAGTCGGGAGAAGTAGTTCGCAATAAAGCCAGGTTAGTTGCCCAAGGTTACACTCAAGTTGAAGGTATTGACTTCGATGAAACTTTTGCACCCGTTGCTCGACTAGAGTCTATTAGATTGCTGTTTGGCATTGCGTGTTATCTTGGTTTTAAGTTGTTTCAGATGGATGTCAAGAGTGCATTTCTCAATGGTGTGATCCAAGAAGAAGTGTACGTCGAACAACCTGCTGGTTTTGAGGATCCACATTTTCCCACTCACGTGTACAGATTAAAGAAAGCTCTCTACGGGTTAAAACAAGCCCCTCGGGCATGGTATGAACGATTAGCCAGCTTTCTACTCGAGAACGGCTACAAAAGAGGGGGAGTAGACAAAACGTTGTTTATCCATAATTCGGATGATGTACTATTAGTAGTACAAATCTATGTGGATGATATCGTGTTTGGGTCTACATCACAGTCAAAGGTCGACTGGTTTGTTCAGACAATGACTGCTGAGTTTGAGATGAGTATGTTTGGAGAACTCAGTTACTTTCTGGGACTACAAGTCAAGCAAGACAAAGATGGAATCTTCGTCTCTCAAGAGAAATATGCTCGGAATCTGGTGAAAAGATTTGAACTTGACACGAGCAAATCAGCACGTACCCCCATGTCCACAACCACCAAGTTGACCAAAGATGACGAAGGAGAAGATGTTGATCCAAAACTCTATAGGAGTATGATCGGGAGTCTACTGTATTTAACCGCAAGTAGACCTGACTTGTGAAGAAACATCCTCCTGATGTGCTCTTTCGATCATCCGTATTTCCTCCCCAATCTGCATCACAGTATCCTACTAGATGCGTACTCGTATCCTTTGTGTAATGTAGCCCATAATCAACTGTGCCTTTGATATACTTGATTACCCTTTTTACCGCTAGAAGGTGAGACTTCTTAGGCTTTGCTTGATATCTGGCACATATGCCCACACTTAAACACAAGTCAGGTCTACTTGCGGTTAAATACAGTAGACTCCCGATCATACTCCTATAGAGTTTTGGATCAACATCCCGTAGAGAGCTTTCTTTAATCTGTACACGTGAGTGGGAAAATGTGGATCCTCAAAACCCGCAGGTTGTTCGACGTACACTTCTTCTTGGATCACACCATTGAGAAATGCACTCTTGACATCCATCTGAAACAACTTAAAACCAAGATAACACGCAATGCCAAACATCAATCTAATAGACTCTAGTCGAGCAACGGGTGCAAAAGTTTCATCGAAGTCAATACCTTCAACTTGAGTGTAACCTTGGGCAACTAACCTGGCTTTATTGCGAACTACTTCTCCCGACTCATTCGTTTTGTTTTTGAAAATCCATTTCGTTCCAATCACATTAATGTGATCTGGTCGGGGAACAAGATACCACACATCATTCCTCACAAATTGCTCCAGCTCATCATGCATTGCCTTTACCCAGAATTCGTCCTTCAGTGCTTCATCCACTCGAGAAGGTTCATTCTGCGAAGAGAAACACACAAAACGCACCATATCTTGGTAATTTATCCTCTTACCTCGTGTACGCATGGGATCGAGTACATTTCCTATCACATCATCTTCAGAATGATTCCTGTGAACTGTAGGTGTAGGATCAATTTCCAGATCTTCCTCTTCCTTGTTCTCAAGTTCTGCATTGTCACTCTGTTCTTCTACCGAGTGCTCACTGGGAACATCGTGAAGTAATTTCGGCGGGACTTCACTCGGATCTGCGCTGTGTTCCTCATCAAAAACAACATTAGCTGATTCCATAATCGTTTTAGTGCGCAAATTGTATACTCGATAGGCAGCAGAATTCATTGCGTAACCCAGGAACATACCTTCATCACTTTTGGCATCGAACTTTCCTCTGTATTCTCTATCATTCAACACAAAACATCGACAACCAAATATATGAATAAACTTCAGAGGAGGTGTCTTACCTTTCCATATTTCATATGGAGTTTTGGCCGTCCCTGGTCTGATATGGATGCGGTTGACAAGGTAGCATGCCGTACTTACCGCTTCTGCCCAGAAACGTTTCGCAACATTTCTTGCATGTAACATTGTTCTCGCCATTTCTTGCAGTGTCCTATTCTTCCTTTCAACCACTCCATTTTGTTGTGGAGTTTTCGGTGCAGAATATTCGTGGACAATTCCATATTTGTTGCAGAATTCTGTAAACTGTTCATTTTCAAATTCACGCCCATGATCACTCCGAATTCTCTGAACTGGGACCAATGCAGACGGAGAGTCTTGGAGGAAAGAGGTATGTGTTTGTATGTGTTGATGATTTCTCACGTTTTACTTGGGTCAGGTTCTTAAGAGAGAAGTCAGAAACATTGGGTGCATTCGAACACTTATGGCTGCAACTCCGAAATGGAAAAGGAAGTGTTCAGAGAATTCGGAGTGATCATGGGCGTGAATTTGAAAATGAACAGTTCACTTCTCACTTTGATTGCTTTCGTCAGGATTTACCCAAGTGTAGCAATTACTTGGAGTTCTTTTTCCTGTCAACACACAATTTTCAAGAGAATTCGTAACAACACAAGCATCTTTAGTGAAATTTACCTGAAATCCAGAGTCACACAGTTGACTGATGCTTATGAGGTTTGCCTTGAGTCCTTGGACAACATTGACATCTGTAAGTTTGGGCAGTCCTGATGCATCCAGATTTCCTTTGCCCAAGATCTTTCCTTTTCTTCCATCTCCAAATGTCACGTTTCCTCCTTTGAGATTTTCTTCAAATGTCGACAACATACTGACATCTCCTGTCATATGACGTGAGCATCCACTGTCAAAATACCACCGTTGTTCACTTGACTTCAGTTCAGAAGTGTATGCCACATTACACCTCGAGATATCTTTTCTTCTCCATACTTGCCTCCATCTCAGGGTGGGTGGTACCTGATAATTTTGCCAGTAGTAGCAATTCATTCTGATGTGACCTCTTTTTCCACAGTAGAAACAAGTGCGATGTTCACGATAGTTTTGTGATCTTTGTCTTGGATACAGATCAATCTTGATCTTTGGAGTCTGTTGTACTTGTGAGATCACTTCATCTCCAAGTTTTCCTCCTGAAACAAAGTTCCCTACTTTGTTTTCACTTCCTCCGATATATCCAAGCCCAGTATGTCCAGAATCTGTTCGCCCAATTGTCAATAAATGATCCAATTTTGCGGTGCCATTTCCAAGCATTCTCACATTCTTCATGGTACCTTCCAGTTGATTCTGTAAAACGAGAATCTTCTCCTCTTTCTCCTGTAGTTGCTTCTTCAAATGATCAACTTCTGACACTTTTGTATCCAACTGTTTCTTGATTTCCAGAATCTTTGCCTCATTCTCCTTCTGTTCTTTGATCAATCTTGTATTGATGTCATACAACCTTGTCATATCCTTGTACAAATCTTCTTCGGATATCTCTTCTTCAGTCTCTTCAATGATTCCAATGAATGCCACAAAATTTGACATCTCTTCTCCACTTTCTTCATCAGACTCGGTTTCAATCTCTTCATGAGTAATCAGAGATTTACCTCTTGTTTTTCCAAGTGCACACTCGTTCTTTGTGTGTCCATATCCTTTGCACTCATAACATTGAATATCCTTCAGATTTTTTAACATTGCCTCTCTCTTGGCAATGCTAGGACATTCAGCCTTCCAGTGACCTGCTCCCTGGCATTCCAGACATTTTCCAGAATGTCTTGATTCTGCTTTGCCAGTGAAACCCGGTTTTTTCTTAAAAAACCGGTTGAATTTTTTCACAATCATCGCCATGTCTTCCTCCAGTGACACTTGGCTGGGAGCCTCAGATGATTCTGGAACATGAAGTGCCAGACCCTTGTTTGGAGTCACTCCTCTTGGCTTTTCATATAGTTCCAGTTCTAACTCGTGAGCAGCAAAAGCCCCAACTGTCTCTTTGAAACTGATAGTATCCACATTGTTTACCATAGTAAAAGCAGATTTATGAGACATAAACTTTTTGGGTAAGCTTACCAGGAGTTTTGCCACCAGTTGTTTATCTCGATAGGTCTTTCCGAGGACCTCTGCTTCGTTTGCTAGCGCATTCAGCCTGCCACAAAATTCCTTGACGCTCTCGTTTTCTCCCATTTGAAGCATATTAAACTGATGCTTGATTAGATCTCTCCTTGTGCGCTTGACACTTGATGTTCCTTCATGAATCAACTCAAGCGCATCCCAGGCTTCTTTTGCTGATTTGCACCCTTGAATTTGCTTAAACTCATCCTTGTCAACTGTATTGAAAATGATAGTTATGGCTTTTGAGTTCAGTGCTGATGCTCGCTTTTCTGAGGGTGTCCACTCAGATCTGGGTTTCAGAACCTCTTTTCCATCCTTCACATCGATTGGAGCACTCCAACCTTCCTCTACTGAACTCCAAGCATCTTCATCAATTCCTTTGATGAGATTCATAGTTTTCACTTTCCAAAAACTATAATTCTCGGAATCGAGAATTGTGGATCTTCCCAGAGACTGAAACTCTTTGAGTGAGTCCATATTGACTCTTCAACACGTACACTGATATGAGAGGCTCTTTCGCCTACGATCAGTGACCAGCTCTGATACCAATTGAAAAAGTTGAACCCTCAAAGAGTAATGCGGAAAACTAATCAGTTCTATTCACTTGAGAAAGATAGTCAAGTACAACTCACTTTTTGTTGTAAGAATCGTACTTACTACACACACCCGAAACTCCCCCTGAGTTTCTTCCCCTCTCACAATGAATTCTACTGATCAAAAAACCTCACCACATAAATCACTCACCAGAGAGAAGAGATTTGCCCAATCGGTCTCCCTCTCAGACTCGCACTCACCAGATAATGAGAACACACTCACTTAACAAAATAGACTTAGAAATTATGCTCCTTCTCTCTGCACCGATCTGCAACTTGTGTCTTCTTTATATAGGCTCCTCCCTTAGCCTCAGATCTCCACGAATTGATTTGATAGACTTCTCCTTGATTCTTGTTGGTTTCGTGTCTATCTTCAAGATCTCATCTTTATCTCTTCAGCTTGACTCTATCTCTTCAGCTTTGACTTCATCTGAATCTTGTCAGTTGCATCTCAGATATCTTCGAGTTTGATCTTTGCCGAATCTTTCTCCTGAAATCTCTCAAAGTTTGTTGGACCTGCAACAAACTTTCAACAACCCAAGATACGTGCAAATATATGCACTAACAATTGTGCTCCTTACTGTTCCGATGATGTTAATTGCGGCTTTGAGTTGCGTTTATCTGCATATCCAGAAGAAATCTACGGACAATGGAACCGCAAACAGGTATACATACATGCACACATACACATATATAGATATTTGTGTGTGTACGCGCGCGCATGACTGCTATTTTTCCATTATTGTGTTTAGTGAAAGATGTATAATTTAAGGTGCAGTTGGATAACGAAATCTTGTGGGCTAATAGTAAGAAACCGAACACAAATTGCAGTGATCAATATATACACATATATACATATATATATGTATACAGTAAAATCTTTTTTTGTTTAACTTGCAGGAGTAAGATATGTGAGGTTGTAGGGAAGATGAGGAGGCCGATGATGGTGATGAATCCTTTGGGAATAGTCACAGCGACAGAGTTTACGTTTTCCATTTTATTTGTGGCTCTTCTTGTTTGGTCTCTCGGCAATTACCTCTACATTAGCTATAACGTCCATCTTCACAATGACGACAATGCCAAAATGTAAGTAGTTCGTGTACGGAAACTTACATAACATAACCATGTAAATATATCCTATCCAATAGCATCTACGTCGGTTTTGAATATGGCAGATGGCAAGCCAAGTTCCGGAGCTTTGGACTAAGGACAGGATATGTAGGGCACATATGCTGGGCATTCTTGTTCTTTCCCGTGACAAGAGCTTCTACGATTCTGCCACTCGTTGGGTTGACGTCGGAGTCGAGCATCAAGTATCACATTTGGCTTGGTCATCTCTCCAACTTCCTCTTTCTGGTTCACACCGTCGTTTTCTTCATCTACTGGGGCATGATCGATAAGTTGATAGATGTCAGTACATCTCATTCTACTGTGAATATCAGTGCAGAAGTCATTATTTGATCGTTTTAGTTCTTAGAAATTATCTACACTCAACATGAATCTGTAACAAAGTTTAACACTGAATACTAAATTTAAGTGATTCATCAGTGATCTTTAGATTTTTTTTTTGTTGAACCGATCTCAAATCCTGGTCTCCTTTTAGAAGAGCAACTAAATTTAACATATAACTCAGATTTCGTAGAGTAGATTGTTTTATAATTGATTATATACGTGCAGGCGGTGCAATGGAACCCTACTTACGTGCCAAATTTAGCTGGAACTATAGCAATGTTGATCGGAATCGCAATGTGGGTGACAAGCTTAGGCTGGTTTAGGCGAAAGAAGTTCGAGCTCTTCTTCTACACTCACCATCTCTATGGACTCTACATAATCTTCTATGTGATCCATGTCGGAGACTCCTGGTTCTGCATGATCTTGCCTAACATCTTCCTCTTCTTCGTTGATCGCTATTTGAGATTCTTGCAGTCCACAAAAAGATCTAGGCTTGTCTGTGCACGGCTCTTGCCTTCAGACAGCCTCGAACTTACCTTCTCCAAATCCCCTGGTTCATCACTAATCCTTTGCGTTCACTTCATTGATAGATCATTTTATCACTTTGAAAGTGTTACATTTATTGTTAAATCCCCCCATTGATATGGTATTTTGATTACTACACGTTCAATATTTAGTTATATGCCATTGTTATCTAAGAGAAAAGAGTTTGATGTTTCCATTTGCTTTCATGGATTGGCTTGTAGGATTGCACTATAACCCGACGAGCATATTGTTTGTGCATGTCCCAAGCATTTCCAAGCTTCAATGGCACCCATTCACAGTAACTTCAAGCAGCAATTTGGAGAAAGACACAGTAAGTGTTGTCATCAGGAGACAAGGAAGTTGGACTCAGAAGCTCTTTAATCAAATATCTTCTTCGATCGATTCCCTTGAGGTTTCAACCGAGGGACCATACGGGCCTACGTCCTTTGACTTCTTGAAGTTTGTACTCCAGTGCCTGAAGTTTAATCCTGCATTCGTGACTATATTTCCGTTACAACTGTTTGTCTAAATCAGACAGCTTAAGAAGTTTTTCAAGGATTAGCTGGATCTGTCGAAATAAGTTCCTTAACAAATGTTCGGTATCTAATTCGATCAGTTCCTTAACCAATAAATGAAGTTGGAACAATTTTCTTGCAGAGGTTTACCATCATCTGTCTGTGTTCTCATGTGTTGTTTCGTCGATGACAACATGTATTGTCTCAATCTATTTCTCATGTCTTTGTCCTTGGCAACTGTAGGCATGACTCGCTAATCCTAGTGAGCGGAGGCAGCGGAATCACGCCATTCATTTCAGTTATCAGAGAAATCATCTTCCAGAGCCAAAACCGAAACACCAAACTACCAAACATTCTTCTCGTTTGCTCCTTTAAACACTACCAAGACCTTGCACTTTTGGACCTAATATTCCCAGTCTCAGGCATATCAATCTCCGACATATCTAAGTTGAATCTCCGGATCGAAGTCTATGTAACAAGAGAGGAGAAACAGACGATACCAGCCGAAGAACACAGACTCCTTCAAACAAAATGGTTCAAACCAAACTCTTTGGATTCGCCGATCTCCCCCATTCTTGGTCCAAACAACTTCCTCTGGCTCGGAGCAGTAATCGTGTCATCGTTCGCGATGTTTCTCTTTTTTACAGCGATTGTCACTCGCTATTACATATATCCGGTTGACCATAACAGCGGAAAGATCTATAATTTCTCTTACAGAGCTCTCTGGGACATGTTTCTGGGCTGTGTCTGCATTTTCATAGCCTCGAGCGCAGTTTTCTTGTGGCGCAAGAAACAGAATCGAACAGAGGATCAAGCTGTGAAGCAGATACAGAGCGTGGAGTTTCAAACGCCCACTTCTTCCCCGGCCTCGTGGTTCTACAGAGCTGAGAGGGAGCTTGAGAGTGTTCCTTATCAGTCTATAGTACAATCTACGAACATCCACTTCGGCTCCAAGCCCAATCTCAAGAGTAAGTCATGTATATATATACACACACACATATATATATATATATATGTATATGCTACCCAAAAATAAATAATATACGATGAAACGGATGATAAGGCATTAACAATTGATGGTACCGTTCCGCAGAGATTCTGTTTGAAGCAGAGAGTTCGGAAGACGTGGGAGTAATGGTGTGTGGGCCAAGAAAGATGAGACATGAGGTTGCAAGGATATGTGCCTCTGGTCTGTCTAAGAGCCTTCACTTCGAAGCAATCAGCTTTAATTGGTGATCATCTACGCCACGTAACATTGTTATTGTCTTTTTTATTCGTGGAAATGGACTTTTCATGTTTTAATAATTTGTTGCATGTATGTAACAAGCCTTGCGTGTGCTTTGATATAATCGGTGTATATTTTATTTTTTCAAAATTTGTAATGATATATACATTTCTAACTAATCTATTTTTTTTCAAAATTTGTTATAGAGTTTTTTTTTCTATACCATCCATTCAAGAAGCCGTATCAAAAATAATATACCGTCCATTCGACCGCTCATCAGATGCAGCGATGTGTAACTCATGTGGCTTATGTAACTCACCGTGACTCGTTACGACTCTACGTCTCATTGTGATTCAACTGCGGCATTTGATCTGGATTATGAAGCTCAACATGAACCGTCAAGGCTCAAAATAATATACCAGGTTTTTTATGGGTAGAAGTCACCCCAAAAGCTAGTTTATTTGGAGAAGAAAAGAACTCATGACATAAACAATGGCATAATAACTTGGAAGTCAAGGATGCAATGACTAAATGAGGTCTAGAAGAATCTAAATGGAGCCGTTGTGTGAATATTCTGGGTAATCTTAGACGAGACCAACAGAGTAATTTGTGCACTAATCAAACCACATCCAAGATTGCCTTTTCCGACGTGAAGATTACATGTCCACCAAACTCTCCTTATACAAAGATGTTCTATCCGTTACATGTTCTTATGACCGTTAGAATTTTTTATTATTTTACCTATAAATATGTGTATATACACTTGTAATAAAAAAAACATAGAAAAAATATAGGTGACTAAATTGGTTCACATTGTAATTTTTCAGTTTTGTCTTGCATGAACTCCTTTTCGTTTCTTCTTTCTTCTATGATTAATCTCTTTAAATAAATTCATCATAAAATCTTCGGGGTGCACATGGTCTTATATATCTCAATTGTCCCCACATTTATATTGACGATGTGAGACTCTAACAGATTTCTACAATCGGTTTCGGTTATCTTCTAGTGGGAGGGAGAGTAGCAGAGATTTCACAAATTAATAAATAAAGGAAAAATGAATATACTATAATATCGTGTTTCCATTTCGGCAGAGTTAGGTTAGACGAGTGTCTCTTGTACATAAGCAAGTTTATGTGTCTGAGGTTAACGGAGCCGAATATCTTCTTCTCTGGGTATTGGGTTGATAAACCCGAGATGCTAACGAAAGAAAAAAAAAAGAGAGAAAGTCTAGTTAGATGAAAAAAAAAGAGAGAAAGAGAAAAAAAAAATTGAATGTCGAAAGCGTAGACTAGATACAATTAGGTAGAAAGGTGTAATAGGTTTGAGAAACATGCTTGGTAGATGATTGAAGTTCTTTGATTGGTTCTAGGTAGCGGTATAGATCCCATGGCTAGGAAAGATTATCCTTTAGAGAGGGAGATCATATTAGACAGACTTGATCATTGTTCACGGGGACCTAGGTCGGATAGATGTTTCGCTCTCGATTATCATTTTGAGTTATGTTATTGTCTCGCCCTCCTTTCATATTGTTTTTCACGGAGTATTTGCTCGAGGACGAGCAAAGGTTTAAGTCTGGGCGAATCTAATTCCTAAGAGATCGATTCTAGGGTTGTGCAGCGGAAGTAAAACAAAATTTTTATAAAACCGTAGAACCATGCTACTATTGAAAACGTAGAAACGTTAGAACGCTTACCTCAATCGATCCGGGGCCTGTATCAACTGAAGAATTCGTCCGATCACTTAGGGAGGAAGATTACCTCGCCCTCTATACGTATCCACACCTCGGGATGGATTCCAACGGTTGGAACTTGTCTGCTAGGACTCGAATCTCTATTCGGTTTTTCGCACTTCGAGAAAAACGAGACTTAGAACTTGTTGAGCTTTTTGGATCTCACCAAAAACTCTCCAAGAACACCAAAAGTCGGCTGCTCAAAGTCTCTTGTCAATTAGGGTTCTAATCTCTTTCTTATAAAGTGATTTAACCCTAATTTCGGTTTAATTTTCGGAAAACCGGAACCTGGAACGGACGGTCCAGAATTGCACGTGGACCGTCCGTTCCAGTAAGGCAGAACGGACGGTCTACGTTTAGTGCGGACCGTCCGTTCTATCCTCATAGAACGGACGGTCTGCGTGTTGTCGTGGACCGTCCGTTCTGCTTCCCAGAACAAACGGACCACTCATCCAGACCGTCGGGTCTCGACCCGTCTGACTCGGTTTTCCGTCGTTTTCTCTCGTGCTTTTGCCCTTCCCTGCGTGTGTGAGCCTGTAGGCTCATTCGACATAGCAGTATAACCCGAAATCCCTATTTCGGGTATACAAGTCATAGGCGGTCTCTAGCAAGACACTATGACTACCTATCTCGAATAGAGTTAGTTCGTGATCTTACGAACACCCGTTCGTCTATAGTGCGGCCACACATTTCTACAGTCTTGCTCACACGAGGGGCCCAGCGATATCTCTCTCTTTTACGAGAGGTACAAATTCCGTCTTGACTATCTACAATCCAGTACATGATTCGTTTCGTACCTGATATACGCCTTTATAGTCCTCCTGTTACGCAGGACGTTTGACGTAATCAAAGCACGCAACTCCTCATGTTGGATTCTGTAGATATCTCAGGTCTTAGGATCCAATCATGGAACCGTCATATGAGATTCTAGTCATGACGCTAGTCCATGTGACAATCTCATGTGGGTCAATCCAGTATTCCGTTCTCCAACGAATACCTATGATCGTGATCGTATCCAATACCTATGATCATCTATGTGATCATCAATCACACATCATACTAGTCTTATTATGTTGTTATTCCCATAATGACACAAGACTAGGGAGTTTAGTATCATTCATAATGATACATGGATTTCATAACAGATCTAGCATGCAAGAACATGTAATGAATAAAATACTCTCATAAAACCACATAGAAAGTATCAATACATCGAATGTATCTGAACAAAGCTCATAATCAGTACATCATAGAGCACTAAACCAACAATCTCCCACTTGCTCTAATCATGAACTGCTAAACATCTAATGCCCATATCCCTAACATGACCCTCATGCTTCGACGAAGGGAGAGGCTTCGTCAACGGATCGGCAATGTTGTCATCTGTCGACACTCTGCAAATGTGTAGGTCTCCTCTGTCTATAATTTCCCTGATAACGTGAAATCGTCTGAGTATGTGTTTGGATCGTTGATGGGATCTGGGTTCTTTCGCTTGTGCGATCGTTCCATTGTTGTCACAATATAGAGCAATGGGGCTATCAGCACTAGGAATGACACCCAAGTAATATTCGTTCGTCCCACAAGGTCTTGAATCGGTTCAAGATGCAAGACTCTAAGAGGGGTGCCTTGCCAATGGGACATGATGTGGCTCTTAGCAAGACTCAGTGTCCAAAGACACAGGATGAGCGAGACTCAGTGTCCAATACTTATGATCATCTATGTGATCATCAATCACACATCATACTAGTCTTATTATGTCGTTATTCCCATAAAGACACAAGACTAGGGAGTTTAGTATCATTCCTAATGATACATGGATTTCATAACAGATCTAGCATGCAAGAACATGTAATGAATAAAATACTCTCATAAAACCACATAGAAAGTATCAATACATCGAATGTATCTGAACAAAGCTCATAATCAGTACATCATAGAGCACTAAACCAACAAAGGCTCCCCGAGCAACCCATAGAACCGAGTCTCCTCTCACTCGTGTTAGAGCTCGAGCCCTCCTTATCACGTTAACAAAGGCCGTCACTCATGTTCTTCACGGAGTCCGGGATCACGACGCGAACACCTCCCTTTTCGGCCAAGACTTAATCCGGAACGTCTCCTCCATCATGGCTGAAAGCTATTGGGCTCAAAGATGACTTCAAGCCAGCCCATGAGCTGTCCATTTCAGCCCAAGAACAAATCAAGGCCCAGCCCATTAGACCATTAAATTCCAACAGCTCTTTTCTTCCTAACCACCTTATTAAATGACAATTAGGCTCCTTCTCTTGCATGAAGACTTGCATTTATTGTTGTTTTCTCTATATAAACCACCTAGAACTCTTTTGTAATCAGATTT